AAAACATCTAAAATATCCGGGAAGTCAGATCCGACATGTATATTAAAGTTTTAGTGTGGAAAAGACAAAAACAGCTGAGAGCAGCAGAATATATTGACCAACCTTTAGCTTACAACAATCTTTAAAAATATAACACAATCGTTGTCACGCGTATATATAAATACAATAAAGACAAAATTCAATTTAAATTTTCATTTCTAAAAATCTTTTAAACAGCATGGATATTAGATACATATAATCATGGAAACAAAGTAACGCCATCTAAGCCTTTTTTTACTTGTAAACTTTTAATTCGAAAAAAGACTTGTTAACAATCAAAACTGGAATAAAAAATCGTCTTTATTGTATTGATATAAATTCCGACTACTGTATGAAAAATGTATTATCTAAACTCTTGGAAAACACTGGTTTAACGAAATAAAGGTTTTCTATGTTCGTAACAAAAGCCTATTCGTTTCTTTAATTTTAAATATCCTGCAAATTCATTCTCAATATGTTTAATCTGTAGATTTTAAACCTGAGGATGAAGCATTAAACATTCTTTTCATCAAATCCAATTCCTTTCCATTTTAATTAAGTACCTTCCATCTTTTGGTTCTTAGAATTACGAGATTTTATCTTCTTATCTATATATATATTTATATATACTTTGCTTGGGTGTCTGTCTGTTTGTCCGTTTGGCAACGATCGAGCTCAATATATTGTGGGACCTCTAGTGACCCCAGGGAAGGTTTATAGATGCTTAAAATTACCAAAAAAAATATTTTTGTGAAAACTTTGAAAATCCACGAACTAATATTATCAAATCTGCTAACTTTTTTTTATTTTTTGTTTTATATTGGTCAAAAAGAAGATGCTCCAATTAAGAGTTGAAATATAAAATGGCTCCCTAAAATGACTCGTTATATTAAAAACTGACGTAAGAATGAATCAATCATTTTAGCAATTTGACACAAACTCTGATTTTCTGATTTTTATATCTTTGCAACAAAATGTCGTAATCCTTCGCTATTATAAACTATAAATGCTGTTAGATTAAATAATCCAAGATTAAATATCAAAGGTTTAGGGTAATATCAAAGGTTGATAAGATATAGGGTTTATAAAATTGGATTTTTTGACAAAGGCTCAAATCCTTTGATTTAAAATGATAATAAATAGATCCATTAAAGAAATAAAATAAATGATAAAATAAGGGATTGAGCTTTAATTATTTTAAACAGATGTATACATTACATACTAAACAAGTACAGAACCCTGCGTCGTCACTTTCAATTTAGTTGCCCATTACACTGCATTTGTATACGGTGGACTTTTCTATAGGGTTTTCTAATCTATATAATAATATATATAGATGTAAAATATAGCTGTTCGCTTATAAATATTTATATGTTAGGTTGTTAGCTAAAGCTGGCCAAACGGCATGGTCCGAATGTGCTGAAATTTGTCGACCCTATAAAGGCTGGGGGTCTGAATCTATGTATAGCCTGGGGGGGTCTGAATCTATGTATAGCCTGGGGGGGGGGCGTTTAGCGCCCCCTCCCTTGAAAAAGGCCTTAGAGAATAGTTATAGGGTTGAAATAGTCCAAATTTTCAAGGCCAGCTCAAAGAAACAATTAGACCGATAACTTTAATAGTTTGGATGCTAGGAATGGTTGAAAAAATGCCTAAAAAAGGGTCAAAAATATTTTTTTTGTTTTAAACAAATATCAAAGTGTGACAGTTGTTTCTAAATGCATTTTTGAAGGGCTTTTCAAAACTATAGATTTTAGATGTGACACATGTTTCTACATATAGTTTTTAGATCTGTAGCTTTAGAATTTTTTTTCACAGACCGGCTTTTTCCCACCCTGTACCCTACCCTAGAAATTAAAAGAAATATTTAAATTACTTTTCATTAAAAGACACGGAGATAGTGTCAAAAATGAGAGTGCTAGGACAAAAAAAAACTACAGGAGGGCGTCAACAAATTTCAATTTTGTTTAATCCATTTTTTAACTCGATTCTTTTTTAAACATAAAAAAAATTCCACGGGCAACGTCGGGAACTTCAAGCTATTCTTTGTAATAAAGTGCATCACTCATATATATTTGTTTGTATGTTATCTATAGCTGACCAACGGCTGGACCGTATGGGCTGACATTTGCTGAGGGAACCCTTAAGTACCACTGTACCCTTGGGGTCCGGTAACAAATACCATTTATTTTTGGTAATTTCATTTTTGGTAAAAATGTGAAATTTGAAGAGGAAAAAAATTTGATAGGCAATCTGTAGAGTGTAGACCCTTTAAAAGTCAGCGAAATTATTTTTTACTTAAAATTAAATACGTAGAAAAACAAAATTTTAAAATCTAATTAAGTTCACAAAATCCGCAATCAATATAATTTAATAATACACTCTAGTACGCACATTTTCTATTATTATTCTAATTTAGACATTTTTATTATTTCATTATTCAGATTATAATTAAAAATTTAGAAAGAATAAAAATGATCAAAAACTTGTTTTCCAGAAATAATATTGCGGAACTTCTTAATATAATTTTGAGCATTTTATCTCAAATTTACTTATCTGATCTGTTAAAGATTTTAGGGTGTGATAGAAATAAGATATTCCCGCTTCTAATTTTGAATAAAAAACAGTTCCGCAGATTTTTTTAAAGGGTCTTTTTCACAATTTAGTTAAGTCCGACAACTTATGAAGTAATAAACTTTAAGCTGATCGATTGAAAAGTCGATCATAAAATTGTATCTTTCAATTCAATTCACTTTTCTCCAGAAAGAAAAGAAATTTCCTTATCATAGGATAGAACTCTTTAGAATGGGGTATATGGTTTTCAAGAATGCTGTGTAAACAGCTTCTAGAAACCAGCATTTGCTGATGTTGCAGAGGAACTAAATATCTTAGAATATTAATAAAAGCATTCAGATTATCGTGAAACAATAATTTCAGAATAGAAAAACCAGAGCTGGGACTCTTTGTCGATTGTTTTATCCCGATATCCACAGTGCATGGGGGGCTTTTAATTTAATCTCTTTATTTCAGTTTTCTCTTTAGGGTACAATTACACTGCGAATATCGAATAAAGATTAAATTAATCTGTAGATTAACAAAAAATCATTAAGCATTGATCTCGATATCCACTATTTAAGAGTTTCCAGCTGTGTTGGTTTAATTGATTATTTAGCGGCATTATGTTGGTTAATTTGATTATTTAGTTGCATTATGTTGGTTTATTTGATTATTTAGCGGCATTATGTTGGTTTGTTTGATTATTTAGCGGCATTTTGTTGCAATTTGATTATTTAGCGGCATTATGTTGGTTTATTTGATTATTTAGCGGCATTATGTTGAAATTTGATTATTTAGCGGCATTATGACTATGTTGGTTTATTTGATTATTTAGCGGCATTATGTTGAAATTTGATTATTTAATAGCGGCATTATGTTGGTTTATTTGATTATTTACCGGCTTTATGTTGGTATATTTGATTAATTAGTGACTTTATGTTGGTTTATTGGATTATTTAGAAGCATTATGTTGAAATTTGTAGATGCATGGTTCAGTGCGAGGATTTTCCGATAAATGTAGATGGATGAAAACCTGATGAAAACCTGATACCAACTGATACCAATTTTGGGAAACTTTACCAGAATTAATATTTAAAGAGACTGTCAGTCAATACAATCTTTGAAAAAAAGATTGTGTCAATTTCAATCCTTGTCTCTGATTTATAAATTCTCCTGTCATGTCTACAGAGAAATCACAATTTAAAACTATTAAATATTACGGAGAATAAAAAGCATCCACATTTTCTCAGACAAAAGAGTACCGTTGTGAATTAGGTCATCATTAGAAATTTAGAAATTTAGAAATTTAGAAATTAGTATTTTCGAATCCCAATATCTTTGCAACCTGATGGTGTAAACCTCTGATATGTCAAACTTAGATTAATTAATTTAATCGAATTTAAAAATAGTTCGTATTCCGACATTAGTTTGCAAAGATTAATGAATTCGAAAATCAAAGTTTGTTGCAAAGACTCAATTCCTTTACATTATTATTGACTCTCCACGAAAATCAAAGTAATATAAACATTAAAGATATGCACAAACATAAATAAAAAAATGCAAATGTTTGCTGGTGTGAATTCAAAAGAGTATGATTTAGAGTTTATCAAATAATTTTGCAATGACCAAACTAAGCAAATTTTTAATTGCAAGAAAATATTCTGCGACAAAAAAAAATCCTAAATGCAGTTTTCAAGAATCTTGAAGTGCAATAAAGTAAATCTTTTTATCAGAAAGCTCGATGATTCAGAAGTAATATCCATCTCTTAGATGTCCTCACAATCCATCTACTAGATAAATTCACATAAAAAGCGGATTGCAAAATAGATATTTGAATTTAGCAAGGGATTTGGCACACTTACATGAGTGTGCACTGTGCAGTCACGTCAAACTAAAGTGGATTTATGTACCGCGGTACTGTTCCATTGAGACCGTCAGGTTAAAAGTCGTGTCACACGAATGAAACCTTTTGCAGTAGATACATCCATGTCTAGAGATATCATAACAACCAATTTTAAAATCTGCACTGCGTGTTAAGATGGTTAAAAATCATTTTTTTTATTTTCGCGGATTTTCTCACTTTTTTACAAGAAATAAATCAACAATGTATCCGAATGAATTTAACAAAATGTGAAAAAGCAAAAAATCTTTTTTATTTAAACAAAAACTGATATTAAAATAGTTTTGTCACTAACAAAAATGATAATTACAATATTGTTTAACATATTCGACGTCCATTAAAGCTTAGAACTGAGGAAAGGAGACGCTCTCCATGTTCAGGATGTTCTTCCATCCTTTTATATCTGCTGTGGGTAGGTTTGAACTTGGAGTGAATTGCTTCGCCACATTGTTCAGCATATTTTGAAAGTCCACAATTATTGTACTCTACAAATGGTAAAACATAACAGAGTAATATGTGAATTTTCCAGGTTATAGACAACTTTCCTCCCAAACCTTCTGCCATTTCTTGGACACTAGTAAAAGAATTCTTGAGCTGTTCAAAAGCTCTATGGAAACCTTTCTCTAGGTTCTTTCCAAAGAATGCTTCTTTGACTGCTCTAAAGTCTTTTAAACATTTTACAATTTGTAGAAGTTGAGGAGCTTCAGATGTGACTATACTTTCCAGTTTATCCAGGTTCTTCAGAATTTTGTTAGAATTATTTCCATCCCAACCACGGCCCTGATATCCTCTTTGTAGAACCCCCTGTAGCTTTAACCCTGGCCAGAGATCCATCAATAAGATTCCCAAAGATGAAACGACTCCTATCATTAAATGAAGCTCAGGAGGAGGGACTAGGGTTTGGAGTAGAGTATTTGGGTCATCTTCAGTATAAAGCAATTATTCTCTGTAATATATCTTTCATACCAGTAATCAAGGCTTCCTAGAGTTCTCAAGTTTCCACATTCAAATCCAGCAACACCTTCACACCACAGACAAGCTCGTTTTCCTCGTTTTTGAATATTCTCCTTATCCATCTTATTCTTGAGCAAACCTGCTGCCACTTGTTCAGCTTGAAGAGATCCAAGACTTATTGCCAAAAAAATCATATTCAAAACTGCAGTTGAAGGGCTGCAGTTATGAGTTTTCCCTGGAGCTAGAGTAGTCAGACATTCAGAACAAAGGCTAGACTCTAAAGAAGCTTGAACAGTTGGTTCTGGTGATTGCTGGATTAATGAAGAGCTTGATGTTCTGGTCAGCATCTTCCATTCAACCTGCAATGAAATATTTTAAAACTTGCTTAAAATTTTTTTAGGATTACATCGTTTTTAGCAAATCAAAAACTCTAAAATGTAATTATTTTATACATATATCTTAAAAATGAAGACGACTTCCATCTCAGTTTTAATATATCAAGCTTTTAAACAGCAAGGATACACATTACACATAAACATGGAAACAATGAGAAGTTGTCGATTAAACTTCTTGTAAACTTTAATTAAAAAAATCAAATAATCAAAACTTAAATAAAAAAGTCGATATGCAAAGATTTAGAACTTTGAAAACTAAAGATTTTTGGCGAGTTATCAGTTCTTTCATTGGATTAAGAAATGTAACTACTTTTATTAAACAAAATGTTTCTACCTTAGCAACCTTCTCACCCCATGCTCCACGAGATTGTTTCCCTGCTTTCAGCAAATTTAAGTTTCTCCGACAACCAGAACAAACCATGCTAGGATAACTACAAACATCTACCGAGTAACCAGGATAAATGAAGGTTTGAACAGTCTCCTCAATGGCTGAATTCACAAGAGTAAGATGTTTAGATCTTAATCCAAAATATTCCCAACAACAACAACAAACAGAACTTCTATCAAAGTTCTTTTCCATGATTGAATGTATATTAGATGTTGAAAGTGCGAGATAAAACTGCACGAAAATTCGAAATTCGAACATTTTCTCCCGTTTTTTTTTGCGGATTTCTTCAATTATGATATTATAATTTATATTTTTAACAAAATTATTTCTATTTTTTAATTTATTATTTTAACAATATTAGATGTTGAAAGTGCGAGATAAACCTGTACGAAAATTCGAAATTCGAACGTTTTCTCCCGTTTTTTTTGCGGATTTCTTCAATTATGATATTATAATTTATATTTTTAACAAAATTATTTCTATTTTTTAATTTATTATTTTAACCATCTTAACACGCAGTGCAGATTTTAAAATTGGTTGTTATGATATCTCTAGACATGGATGTATCTGCTGCAAAAGGTTTCATTCGAGTGACACGACTTTTAACCTGACGGTCTCAATGGAACAGTGTGACCGGGAAGTTAAAATCGTAAATATTTTCAATCAATCATAGCTCTTTTAATCGAAAATGAAGAAATGAAGAACAAAAATGTTTTGATTTTCTATTATGTAAAAAAAATCATTATTCTCATTTCTATGCGTAAAATCAAGCCTACAGGAGCTGCAAGATCACCAAGACGTACAAGTCATATCGCAAAGAGTTTACCTTCGTCTCCTAGTTACGTCTAGTTGACAGAGTAATAAAACCATAGATTCAGTAGAAGTAAATATTTCCATTTAATGTATAACGCCGAAATAAGGATTTATCTCTAATTGGATAATGAGATAGATAGATGGTACCGCTATGCCATTTATATTGGTTCAGAATAGACAACAAACACATAAATGAACCCTGATTGGATCAGGCATTAATGGAACTTCCACCAATGGCAGTGCAGTATACTGTTAACGCGTCTCCATCTTATTTAGGTAGTGATCAACTAGGTTTCAGCTTATACCCCTTTCATTTTTTCCTAAAAGTCCCTTTAAATGTTTTCCAACTAAACTAGGGTTAACCAGTATATTTAGCTTTAAGTAATATATTGTGAATTGTCCATATTGGTAAAAAAATGTAATCCCTCTTTTAGATAGAAAACTCGTGTTTGGACATTAATTTCGAAATATTTTTATATCGGTCCTTAAAGAATGGTGGTATTAGATAAGATAAGATAAGATAAAGTTTATTGCTAAAATAAATGTATCTGTATACAGATAGAGTTTACAATCACAAATTGATGATTATATTAACAGTACAAGTATAAAGCAACTAGAAATTCAAGGCGCTTCGCGCTCATCTTCTAAATTATTTGTGAACATGTTCTCTTTGTGTACATCGTAAAACAAAACAAAAATAATTCGCGGATTTTCACAAAAAATTTCGTGCATTTTCAAAATTTTCAAAAATTTAATGGAGATTGATTTTTGATGGAGACAAATATTTAAAATTTCAATCATTCATAAACCTTCTCTGGGGTCCTTAGATGTCCCACAAAAAATTTGGGCCCGATCGGTTCAGCCGTTTTGACGTTTATTGGATACAAGCAGACAGACAGACAGACAGACAGACAAGCCAAATTAATATATAGATTAGGTGGAAAATAGCTTTTGGCTGTTTTGATTATTTTTTCCACCTAATGTTAGTAATAATAACAAAATATTTCAATTGTATTGATGTTTTGTATAAAAAAATTTTAATCTTAAATTTTCTTTTAAAGTATTTAATCAAAAAAAAATTTAATACATTCTAATTTAATATAATAAGAAACCAAAATTAAATATTTTTTATACATCTTGTTTGTTGAATAACGTTTAGCTAAATGTACTCTGTTGATCGGGAAAATGTAAACCTGAAAACTTGTGTTTTAATTACTTCTACATTATTAGTTTCTGGAAAAAAACATATTTTCCCTCTGAATAGAATAACCATGCATACAGGGTTACCCACATTGGTCGAGATCATTTTCAGATATATATTCTTTAAAGAAATAGAGTCATTGCCAAAAACTCTGATTTTCTAATCCGTATATCTTTGCAACTCAATGTCACAGACTATGAAACTATAACAAACTATGAATACTGTAGATCAAATTATCCAGGTTTGGAATATCAAAGGATTAGACCATTAGGTTGCAAAGATATACGGATTAGACAATTTGAGTTTGTACCAAAGACTCAATTCCTTCAGAGTTGTAATACAAATTAGCTGTACACACTACACACCCATACACTGTGTATTGAAGTAACATTAGTATAACAAAGCTCATCGCTCATCTTTCTATAAATACTTTGCATGTCTGGGTGTCTGTCGGGATGTTTGTATCCATTAAATGTCAAAACGACTGAACTGATCGGACCCAAATTTTGTGTGGGACCTCACGTTAATCCAGGGTAAGTCTATGAATAATCGAAGTATTAAAAATTTGTTCTTACAAGTTTTATACTTTTTTAAAATTTTGAAAATGCGCGAAAAAATATTATGAAATCCGCAAACTCTTTTTTTTAACTGTACAAAGGGAAGATGCTCACATATAAAGCCACAATTAAAAGTTGAAATAAAAGATGCGAGCGAAGCGCCCTAAAAACCTAGTATATATATATTTGTATATTTGTACTTAGCCATAGTTGGCCAAATGGCTGACATTTTTTGAAGAAACCCTTGGGTACCCGGGGGGTAACATTGGCATAAAAGTTCAAAAAAAAAAATCAAAATTTTTTTTTCAAAATTCCAAATGCAACACTGGGCACTCCAGCTAGTATATCATAAAATAAAAATAATTCAATTCAGTTTCGATTTATTTTAAGTTCTGATCTTCAGTTAACACGCAATTTTCTGGTAGAAATTGAGCCCCTGTACGTTGAGTACGAAAATTTATCTTTGTCAGCGTCAAGATAGATTTCAAGTAAACAAAGTCTTCAGCTTTAAATTCGTAAACTAAGTCGAAGAAGATTGAATATGCTGGTTAAGATTGAATATGATGGTTAAGATTGAATATGATGGTTAAGATTGAATATGATGGTTAAGATTGCCGAAATAAATTTTGAAAATGTTTCCATCGCTGCATCCTTGTGAAGAAACAATATATTTTTAGATTCAGAAAAAAAGCAATTTAAATTTTCCCGGAAATATTTGACTATTCTTGGTCTCAGGAGTATTTTTGAGAGTTAAGAAAGGCAAAGTTGCGTTCTTAATCCCACAAATTGAAGTATTTTGAATATTTGGGAAAAGATTAATTAGATCTCTTTAAAATTTAAATTTTTAAAAGATATATGATCATTAATAAAAGTTTTACAAACAATTATTATTTTTTACATAATGCGTAAAATTATGTTAAAATATGAAGATTCATTTCCTCCTAGCTTCAGGTTAACATCCTAACTTTAGTTCTTGCCACTTCAGCTTAATAAACTTTGTGAGAAAACTAGCATATGTTTAGATACAGTTCACATAAACTAAACTCACCACTGTATTGAAAACTAGCATATGTTTAGATACAGTTCACATAAACTAAACTCACCACTGTATTGAAAACTAGCATAAGTTTAGATACAGTTCACATAAACTAAACTCACCACTGTATTGAAAACTAGCATATGTTTAGATACAGTTCACATAAACTAAAATCACCACTGTATTGAAAACTAGCATATGTTTAGATACAGTTCACATAAACTAAACTCACCACAGTATTGAAAACTAGCATATGTTTAGATACAGTTCACATAAACTAAACTCACCACTGTATTGAAAACTAGCATATGTTTAGATACAGTTCACATAAACTAAACTCACCACTGTATTGAAAACTAGCATATGTTTAGATACAGTTCACATAAACTAAACTCACCACTGTATTGAAAAGTGTTTTATAAAAATGCATCCCCTAAATTTGAATCCTATTTATTTTCATTTAAAATTCGGTGATCGTGATGGACCAAACCTCTGTAGAGTAAAAAGTATAGAAATGTTAGTTCCACATTTATTGAAAACATATTTCGGTCTGGGTTGACCCTTGTCAGTTCTAACAGTCACAATCGATCAAAAAAATGTTAAAAACCGCAAGAAAATAAACAACAAACAATAAAGATTATTTTAAAAAAAATTGAGCTGTCAAATGGACAAAAGGGAAATGAACTCACATCATGAGATGGAAAAAAGATAATATTCACTTTTAAAAAAATGTTTTAAGACAATTATTATTCCTTGAGATTGTTTCTGTCAGGAACAAATTGTTTATATGTATGTTTATAAAGTGGTGGTGGGGTCGATCTAATTAACGAACTTTTACGTACATCGGGGTGAGAGAGGAGGGTTCAGTCATAAAATCTCTTATGTCTTTAGATTCTCGTCCTTCAAGTAAACTTCTCCCAAGGTCCCAAACGCTAACTTTTAGATGGTAAAGTTCATGTCCAGGAAGGTTAAAATGTTCTCCTGTAGGCAGGTTTGTATGGAGATTTCTAATGTAACCAAATTGCCTCTTTGACCTCATTATAGGAGGATCTGAAATTCTGGCTCGGATGAGTTTATCCCTGAGATTAGGAGGTCTCTTAAAGGTAACCATAGGTGGATTTTAAAAGGTTCCTGGACCATGGTTCTCCAATGTTTCTGCAGAGTCAACAATTGAAGAATTGTAATCCCTGCTGAGAAGAAAATCCGTTAGTTTTGAGAATTGTGCATCCCTAAGTTCTGGTTTGCTACAAATTCGTACAATTCTGTATGCAATTGAATAAGGTATGTTGTTAACTTGTTAGAAATATGTGCTGGGTGGCAAGATGATTGAAGTAGGTACATATATCTATCTGTGGGTTTTCTGTAGAGATCTGTTGTGATTCTTCCATCTTCAATGTACAGTTTTGTGTCAAGGAATGGAATACTTTTTGTTCTGTGGCACCAACAGTCGTGTTCATCCTTTAAACCACAATAAAATGGAGAACTATGTTCCAGAGTAATCTTGATTGTAGGATGAATTTTATTGATATAATCCAGGAATTCATTTAATTTCTCAATAGAATCTGTCCAGATTCCAAAACGATCATCCAAAAATCTTTTCAAGATCTTCAGGGGGCAGGAAATTGAGTTTTTGATTTTCTAATCCTTATAGCTGTGCAACCCAATTTCGTAAACCTTAGATATTTCAAACTATCAATTCTGTTGAATCATATAATCTAAGTTTGAAATATCCAAGATTTACAATATCACGTTGTAAAGATATAGGGATTAGAAAATTTGAGTTTGTGGCAAACATTAAGTTCCTTTCACAATGTGATCATCAAGCTTAGCCATAAAAATGTTTGCATAGGAAGGGGATGGATGTATTCCCATTGCTGTTCCTATCAATGCAATTGTTTGTACAGTTTCCACCAAATTCAAATATGTTATTTTTTAAACAAATGTCTAGCAGCTTAATCAAAAATTTCGTAGGGATAGATTTATCAGTTCTGTTTTCAAGAGCTTCTCTATAACAGAATTCTAGACCATCATTCTGAGGTATATTTGTGTACAATCCTGTAACATCTACAGAGAATAGAATAGAGTTGGCTGGTAAATTATCTTTGTTAATTTCTTCAATACATCTCAAAAAATCTGGAGTATCCTGAAGATAAGATGAGTGTAAGTTGGAAAGGGGTTTCAGAAAATTGTTCACAAATAAACTTATATTTTATGTGTATCTTCTTGAGCCGCTGATAATACTTGGTGGAGTATCTCCTGGAATGTGAGTTTTATGTACTTTGAACTTTGCTTTATTCTTGTCATCCGCCATTATCTGTTTCTTTGTTTCTTCAACCTCCTTTTCTTCAACTTGTACATAGTACGGATTTAGTGTTCTATTCTCTTGCAGTTGTTGGTTAGAAAGTTCGTTCAGACAGGATTCCATATAACTCTCAAACTTCAGAATTATGAGTCCTGCACCCTTATCACAAGGTTTTATAGTTCTGAATTTGGTATATTCCTAGAGAACGATTTTTGGACCCCCCTGCCCCCCCTCCTATCAATTTTGTACATGGGTCTGATAGGAAGTGTCTTAACTTAACCTAACCCGTGCCCGCAGCGCTCGGCCCCCTAGCCTGTCCTAGCCGCAGCGCTCGGCCCAGAAAGTGTCTTAACTAACCTAACCCGTGGCCGCAGCGCTCGCCCCAGAAAGTGTCTTAAACTAACCTAACCCTAAATAACAAAAAAATAAATAATGATAAATTTGCTGAAAAATAAATGGTCATGCACAAAATTGATAGGAGGGGGGGGGGGAGGGGGGTCCAAAAATCGTTCCCTAGGACAGACCCCTGAATTTATTTTTAATTGGGGTTTCCAACAAAATTGACTTGCCCGTTTTTACTACAGAAAAACATATTATTATTATCGGGAACAAACACTTTTAAACCTAGAAAACCCATAATATCTTCCACATTATTGATCAGATAAAGGTTTCAAGAGTATGGTTGTAAATAGAGCACTGCCATCTTCGCATAGAGGGTCACTTTACACTACGCTTACAGTCCCTTTAATACGATTAAAAATGGCTGATTTAATAACTACATAGTGTTATTCGTGTCTACTGTCTACCTCTACTTAAATCAGCTACATATAGCTTGTCTATCCTGTTGTTTGTTTGTTTGTATCCAACAAAAGTAAAAACGGCTGAACCGATCAGGCAAGAAGTTTATTTTCTTTTACTCAGACAACGAAACATGAAAATATTTATAAAATATTTTTGTTATTTCAAATGTATCAAAACAAAAAATAGTTAAGCTTTAAGCAGAAAAGATTAACTTTATTTAATCACATCAAAGAAATATAAAGAACGTGCATGTCGGCGTTCAATTCACCTTTTACACATTTCAAAATTATCCGTGAATAATTTACTTCGACCAATTTTCAGATTTCGAATTTAAATTAAGTAATAAAAGAGATAGTCAGGATAAACACGATTTTTTAACTTATCATGTTATTAAATCTTTTATCAGGTTTGGATAAAAAACTAAACTAAACTAAACTAATAAACTAACAAAACTAATCTAAACTAAACAAACCAAACTAAACCGCTGCGTATGTTAAATGTAAGGGGAGGTCCCTATCTGTCTACGAGAGAAGAGAAAGAAATAAGATTTACTTTGTAAATTTACATGATAATACAAATATCTACAAAACATAAATCTTCATAGATATACTAGGTAGGGGGGTAAAATGGTTAAACATACCAAGTAGGGTATGGGGAGGGGGGGGGGAGGGGAGTGTTATTAATAGATACTAGTTAAACCAGTATAAAAGGAAGGAGGTGTTAAAGTTTGGAATAAAGCCAGTAAAGAAGGAGGAGGAATTTATTTCATTTTTGCTCAAAACAATGATGTTTTGCTAAAAATCTATTAATAAGAAAAGGTTTTAAAATTTTCAGATGAGACCAAAAAAGTTTCCCCTTTCTCATGTCATTTGGAAAAAGAAGATACAAATTTAAATACAAATTTTAAAAATGTGAAGTGGGGTTGGGGGGGGGGTGGGTTAAGTGAACAATCGGGGGTAGGAGATGTGTCAAATAATTTACACATTTCATTTGTTTCAAAAAGATTTACTAAACCAAAAAAGACGTATTTTATTTAAACGTTGAAACTAACAAATTGGGGTTTTTTGAGTCGTTGGTTTAAGTGGTTTTGTAAAGCAACCAGTGCAACCAGTAGGGTGGACTGTGTAATTAAATAAAACAAAAGAAAACAGAGAGAGACTTATTGAGGTCTATACTTCTCTACAGATTTATGGCTTTAAAGGGATTTTGGCCAAAATTTTACAAAATCTTGATTATGCGGATTTTCAACCCTTTTTAAACATTTTGTAAACATTTCTCTAAAATGGGTCAATAGTGTTTAAAATCACTAATTTTTTGCTTTCTTGCTCTGAAATTGGCCACTATTAATTAAATTGCACTTAAAAGTGTCAAGCACATATTTGATAAATGCTATGACACCAAGTTATATTCTGATCTGAAGATCCCCCCCCCCTGGTTAACACTCCTATATTATCTTGTATGTCTCCCCTGTGTATGAGTATATCGCCCCTGTTGTATTTTTAACCCTATATTGTTGGAGTCTAATTGTCCCGCTGTGTGTCACAGGAGGTGTTCTGGTCAATTCAATATTTTTACAGTTCTACTCATAGCCATAGACCAGAACCATAAACCATAACCATATACCAGAACCATAGACCAGAATCATAGACCAGAACCATAGACCAGAACCATAGACCAGAACCATAGACCAGAACCATAGACCAGAACCATAGACCAAAACCATAGACCAGAACCATAGACCAGAACCATATACCAGAACCATGTACCAGAACCATATACCAGAACCAGAAACCAGAAACATATACCAGAACCATAGACCAGAACCATAGATAAGAACCATAGCCCAGAACGATATACCAGAACTATTGACCAGAACCATATACCTAAACTATAGACCAGAACCATAGACCCGAACCATACACCAGAACCATAGAACAGAATCATAGACCAGAACCATAGACCAGAATCATACACCTCAACTTTATACCAGAACCATAGACCAAAACCATATACCAGAACAATATGCCAGAACCATATAACATAACCATATACCAGAACCATACACAAGAACCATACACCAGAACTTTAAACCAGAACCATAGACAAAAACCATATACCAGAACAATATGCCAGAACCATATACCAGAACAATATGCCAGAACCATAGACCAGAACCATATACCAGAACCATATACCAGAACCATATACTAGAACCATATACCAGAACCATAGACCAGAATCATATACCAGAAAAATTGTCCAGAATCATAAACCAAAACCTTACACCAGAATCTTAGATCAGAAACCTTATTTTTCTTTAAAAAATAAAATTGTAAAGCCAGTCTATGGCATCTTGAGTAACGTTCGAAACCATCTTAACTTCCAGACGTAAAAAATTCCAACCTCACTAAATGTCAATCTTTCTTTAAAATAAAATAAAGATTTTAAGCTCGATATAACCTTTTCTTTTCAAATTATAAAGTTTATAGTGTAATTCGGACATTTATAACCTAGATTTTTTAAATGTTAAAAACATAAATTCTTTTGTTTAAATTTTCAGACATATATTTTTTTGACGATTGTTTTTACTAAGGATTGGAAATTTGTTCTATTTTATAAATTGCAATCAGTCTCTTTAAATATGTATGCTGCGTTACGATGAGGTACAATGGTATGATGTGAAGTGTGTGTGTATGCTAGGGCTGGGCAAACGCCTTCATTTTTGAATATTTGAATAAAATGTTCAAAAACGTAAGATCTTAGTAATTTATGTTTCCATATCAGATCTTTAATTTTTCGACAAAAGATTTTTCGGAAGATCATTTGTCAACCCGTTAATTCGCTATTTTTATATTTCCAAGAAAGGATTTTTATAATGTTCATTGCTTGCAAGAAAGGGTTCGTTATAGCACATATCCCTACTTTTCCCACTTCCCCCCTCCCTCAAAAAAAGAGAAATGACTCATATACAGCCCATTGGGTGTCACAAAACACCAAAAAATGTACGTATTTCAAATTTGTGGTGATCATTAACATTTCTTTTTAAATTTCTGGTTTCTTGAATATTTCAAGAATCCTGAATATTTTGAGACATACGGCAATAAAGAGTTTGAAGATGAAAAATGAGAATACTTCTCTTAGATAACAGTTGACTCATGGACATCAGTGACAGCTAGTGTAAAAACTTTACGCGCGTTTGTGCGCGTTTGTGTGTTAATGTTTTGGTTGTTTGTGTGGTTCTGAATGCATTACTGTCTAATATATTATTATTAGTTTTCCATTAAAAGAAACTTGCAGTCAATATAGGAGTGTAAGAGTATAATATAATGATGTATATGTTACAAGAAGGAGTGGGGGGGGGGGGTTGATTAGATAAGGAGATACCGTAGGGACAGGGGGAAACGGGGTGGCGTCGGCAAGGGGGGGATCCCACAGGGAATATCAGTTTTATATTCTAATTGATAAACAGATAGTGGCGGAGTGGGGGCTCATGGGAAGAAGAATGGGGAGGGTGGAATATCTGTCAATCCGTGTAGGAATATATCTTACTTTTCGTCTATTTACCTATGTATTCATTTAGAATCAAGAACTTCAGATTCTAGGGAGAAATGGGAAGGAATGTGAAGGGATGGGAAGGGATGTGAAGGAATGGGAAGGGAGGGAAGGGATGGGAAGGGATGGGATCGTGAGGGTTGGGATAAAGAAATTGTCGGAAAGAGTTTAAATGCATTTAGCGTTATACAGTATTGTGGTTTTACGAGTAATATTTATCTATAATATGACGTTATATCTTACTTAACCTCTGTATATCTATATATTTATTTATTGATAGATATATAATGTAGATATATCTTTGCAGCCCAATACCTACATTGATATACTGGTCCCGCGTCTAGCCAATATATCTCAATTTGTTCTATCTTTTCCTGCTGCCTTGTCCTAAATTCCTAATGTAAACATAAACAATGCAGTACGATATATCAAGGCGGGGGGCGGAAGGAAATATATCAATGAAACCCTCTTATAAAAACCTGGACATTCTTTTATTTTCCATTGATAACTTTTCTTACATCAAGTAAAAAAGGAGTTTCTTATTGCTTCTCAAAATTTAAAGACAGTCAGGATCTAATTTTATCATAGATAAAGCTAGATTGCGCATAAGACGACATTTTTTATCTTGAAAGATATAAATGTACAGAGATGTTTTAAAGATATTCCTATTATACAGATTAACTAGGTCGGTTGTGAACATTGGCTGTTCTTATGTCATTGAGTACTTGTGGTGTACATGAGTTCTGTAGAGATCAATTTAAGTTAGTTTA